TTTTGTATAAAAAAAAAACTATTTATTATTTATTAATATGTAAAACACTGAAGTAGTGAAGTATATGAAATATGTTTTATCTCGTGTTCATCGGTACTATTGTTTTAAAGCTTAAATTATAAAAATATATAGGTAATTACTAGAATTAAATGTGATACTGCGATAGTACGAGCATAAAAAATGAATAAAAATAATAGGTTACAAATTTTTTAGTTATTACTTATTGTTACATGTTATTGTTTTGTAACATTTACAGGAACATTTAATATTTGTTTTAAAACATAAACACCGACTGTTTTGACATTGTCGCTTTTTTGCTTGGCAGTTACAATTAACAAAACCTTGACCGTTTACAATTGATAAGCTTGCTACGGCTTCACGTATGAATACAAATTTGTCTTTTTGTACTTTGCTGTAGACCCTGATTGCTACAGATCCCTGACCCTGAAGGTGCCGTGGCTGTCTATGTACTATTTTACAATCAGTCCCTAATGTCATAAGACCTTTTTATCGTTGTATCGATAAGATTATAATTTGTCCCATGGTACTCAATATAGATAAGGTTCTCGTACAACCATGTATCTACATTGATTTTCCAAGGTAAAAACCAATGGAATTTTATTTTTATTTAATGATAATAATATATGTATAGTACTCACTACTCGTGATTGTATTGAGTCGCAGTCGAGTATAGACTGTAGGGTATATTTAAAATAGTACAAAATTTTAAATTTTTATTATATGCCTGACTTGTAATAGGAATTTAGTTAAATGCCTAGTTACTTTATTAAATTACTAGGCATTTAGTAAAACGCCTGATTTGATTATATGCCTACGACCGCGACATGTCTATTATTTTACGTTGTCACGTCACAAAGTTAAAAAAAATCTTATTTTATAAAAATGCAAGGAATCTTAGTAATTTTAGTAATCTCGGACTATAATAAAAACTTTGAAATCTAAGTAATGTAGGTGATAAAAGTAAAGTAAAAAGACATTATGTTTTTTTTTCTTATAAAACTACCAAACTATTACCTTTATTTATTATTGCTCTGAGAAATTTATTTTCACTTTGGATTTGGATTTTAATTTAACATAATAATTGTAGTCATTACGCAATTAACGAGAAATAATTAATTTTCAATAGATTTTAAAATTGTGTTATAATTTATTTCCCATTACTGTTTGTGAAAAATCCCTAATTAATAATATTGTATAATACGAGTAATTATTAGTCATTTGTATATTATATTTATTTACGTTATGCTATTAGTTTTCTGTAATTAATTTTTTTTGTTATACTCTGATAGTCTGTTTTAGTAATGTATTGTTGTGGTTTTTATAACAATGATTACGCATAATTTACAGTCAAGCGATGAAACCCCCGAATCTGATGCACTGTTTGCGTCAACAGTTAGTATATGTTTTGAAGTGATTCAATACAGTTTTTTTTCACACATTTGTATTAGTATTATTATATATCTACTTTATATAACTAGTCAGTTACATATATATTATATTTTAATAAACATTGTCAGTCTTTACATTTTGTTGTGAAGGTTAATAGAGCCAAGTAATAGGTACCTATATAGGTATATTAAGTTTTAA